AAAGCAGTAGAAGATGGCCCAAGTCCTTGGGCCCCTGCAACTGCATGGGAGACCTGGAAGAAGCTCCTGGCTTCGGATAGGTGCAGCTCTGGCCATTGCAGCAATCTGGGAAGTGAAATATCTGATGGAAGACCTCTCTCTCTCTCTCTCTCTCTCTCTCTCTACCTCACTTAGTAACTCTGTCTTTCAAATGAACAAAATAAATCTTTTAAAAAAAAACTATAGAGGTTCTTTTTTTTTTTTTTTTTTTACAGGCAGAGTGGACAGTGAGAGAGAGACAGAGAGAAAGGTCTTCTTTTGCCATTGGTTCACCTTCGAATGGCCGCTGCGGCCACTCCCATGGGGTGCAGGGCCCAAGCACTTGGGCCATCCTCCACTGCACTCCCGGGCCACAGCAGAGAGCTGGCCTGGAAGAGGGGCAACCGGGACAGAATCCGGCGCCCCGACCGGGACTAGAACCGGGTGTGCCGGCGCCGCAAGGTGGAGGATTAGCCTAGTGAGCCGCGGCGCCGGCCTCCAGGCTGACTTGCCCCAAGTGGTGGAGTTGGAAGCATACCAAGGGATTCCAATTCAATCCCATCGAGGTGGCATGTACCAATGCCATCTCACTGTTCCAGGTGATCAATTTCAGTTCACAGTTGGTCATGGTGGAGGGACTGGGAGTCAAAGGGAGCACATAGACAAGTCTAGTACCTGCTAACGCTGACCGATGGAGTAAATAAAGGGGAGAGTGATCCAACATGGGAAGTGAGATACTCAGCAGACTCATAGAATGGCAGATGTCCTAAATAGCACTCTGGCCTCAGAATCAGCCCTAAAGGCATTCGGAGCTGGCTGAAAAGCTCATGAGAGTATTTCAGGCATGGAAAGCCAAGACACTCTGGCAAAAGATCTCTGCGAGTGAGATCCCAGTGGAAAGAACAGGTCATCAAAGAAGGAGGTACCTTTCTCTGAAGGGAGGAGAGAACCTCCACTTTGACTATGACCTTGTCTAAACAAGATAAGAGTCAGAGAACTCAGAGGGCTTCTATAGCCTTGGAAACTCATGACTGGAGCATAGGGAGATTACTGATGCCATAGACAGGAGTGTCAGTTGGTAAAGAACAACAGGAGTCACTGTGCACTTACTCCTCATGTAGGATCTCTATCCTTAATGTGCTGTACATTGAGATTTAATGCTATAACGAGTACTCAAACAATATATTTCACTTTGTGTTTCTATTGGGGTGCAAACTGTTGAAATCCTTACTTAATGCATACTAAACTGATCCTCTGTAAAAAAAAAAAAAAAAAAAAAGAAATTATCAATTCCCAACTTGACTCTCACTGGGATTAAACATGACAATAGGTCTGCTCTGATTTCATCATCATTTAAAAAAATCATCTATTATTTTTCACTTTATGTTTCTGTGTGGGAGCAAACTGTTGAAATCCATACTTAATGTATACTAAGCTGATCTTCTGTATATTAAGATAATCGAAAATGAATCTTGATGTGAATGGAAGGGGAGAGGGAGTGGGAAAGGGGAGGGTTGTGGGTGGGAAGGACGGTATGGGGGGGAAGCCATTGTAATCCATAAGTCGTACTTTGGAAATTTATATTCATTAAATAAAAGTTAAAAAAAAAAAACTATAGATGGAAACAAGTGAATCAGATTATATGGACTATGTGCATTACAGAACATAGCTTTTCAATGATATACAATCTACAGAATAAATAATAATGCTAGCCATGGGAAATATATGAAATATATATGATGGTTAGTCTAAGACAACTAATGTCAAAAGTTATCTCCCAGTGTATGTATTCTTCTGACTAAATATGGTACCAGACTATATGATTGGTAGCATTTATAGCAAAGGAGTTGTAGCAGTATGTAAATAATTGTATTTATTGTGAATCCAGAGAAAATTATAAATATGTTCAATAAAACTTCATTAATTTCCTATTGCAATCTACCTATGTGTTGTTATCCTATATATATATATATATATAGCCATTCTAAGATAGTGTTTTCAAACAGTGTATTTCTTAAGGGGGCTGACCCCTAAGTCAGAATGGATTTGCATTTTAGCCTGCCGTTTAAACAAACTGCTTAACCTATTTGAGCATCAGTTTTCTTCCTGTGAAATGGATATACGATTGAAAGGATCTAATGAGCTGATGCATGTGTTCACCAGCTTCCTAGTGCTGTTGTAACAAGTTACAATAAACTTGCTGTTGAAAATGACACAAATATATTATCTTTCAGTTCTGGATGTCACAGGTCTGAAAAGGGTTGCAGTGGACAGCAATCAAGGAGTCAGCAGCAGTGCTGTATTCTGTGCCGAGGCACTAGGGGTTCATCTGTTCTCTTGACTTGCCCAGCTTCAAGAGCCACTTGCCTTTTGACTCCTGAACCGTTTCTCTATTTTCAGCCAATAGTGTCTTATTTTCTCTCCTGTATGACCTCTGCTTCTATCCTTACATGTTGCTTCTCTAATTCTAACTCTACTGCCTAGTACTTAGAGGGACCCTTGAAGATATTCTTGAATCCACAGAGATAAGCCCAGCATAATATTGCCATTGCAAGATCTTTAATCACATCTGCAAAATTCCTTTGTTCTACAAGGTCAGTACAGATTCATAGTTTGTAGGAATTGGGTCATGGGGTTGTGTGTTTTCCTTTTTGTGTGTGTGTGTATTTTTTTAACTGGGGCGGGGGGGAATTATTAGTCTGCCTACAACACCATGTGAAATGTTTTTTTAATTAACCAGTATTAATACATGAGTGTAATGTCATGTGTTTTTTTTTTTTTTGTATCACACAGAAATAAGCAACAGTAGGTTCTGACCTAGGCAGCCTCTGATTGTTTCCCCAGACTGTTTGCATTGTTGTTCTTTGACTTTCTGCAGGGATCAGTGGACCATTAGTTTCTATCAGCTGTTGTTGTCAACAAGTGAAAAAGTTAATTGACTATTTCAATATGGCCCCAAAGAAATTGCATGTGATTTTAATGCTCCACTGTGCTCTTGTGGCTATCTCTTTATGAATTCTTCCCTGGGATTAATGAATTTAGACACTTGTGAAGCTTTAAAAGAATAGGAACTGATGTCATGGGAAACCTGTTATGTATGGTGTACATTGCCCAACAAGCTTTCTCAGGTGATTTGAGAAATATATCAGTAAAATAAGAACTCATTCCCCGGAAAAGTACCACAGTCAATGGGAGACACCCTTTGGTCAATTATCAAGAGCCCGCGACATCTGCAAAAGGCTGTTCAAGTTAAAAGGTCAAGCTCCAAACAATGATTTACCCCCATATACATACACACATAATAGATATATTTCTTTATTTCATTTCCTTCCTCGTCTCTCAACTTGTTTGTTGTCTCTTCTTTTTTTTTTTCTTGCCTGTTAAACTCAAATGCAAACTACTGTTTCTCCTGTATCCCCCATAGAGTAACGAGCACTGTGTTGTACACTTAATAAATACTTGCAAATGACAAAATGAATTCTTTGCTTTGGGTAAAGAGGACTTCAGGCTGGAAATGAGCCCCTATGCTTGTGTGTAGGTTTCAGTGGTTCATTTTCTTGTCAGACTTCCCCTGGTTATGAATGCTGTGGCAGCACCAACAGTGTTAAGGGAGGAATTTATTGGAGAACATTTACAGGATTAGAAAAATCTCCAGTTCTTTGGAAGCCCCACATTTTGTGTTCAGACTTCTTCATTCTGTCCAAGACCACAATAAGCAGAGAAAAACGAGGGCAAGGTCCACAGGGTTCCATATGTGGAGCCAGCCGCCAGCCCCTTCAGCAGCATGTGGGAGGGTGGAAGAGCATAATCATTGCCTTATTTAGCTGTGTTAATTCTCATTGGGCTGCAATTTTGCATATTAGCTCTTGACCCTGCAAAAATGTATTAATGAATGCCTGATGTAGTTAATAAGTTTTAAGTGATCCTTTTTTTCTAGTTTTGAGTAAAATATTATATACAAAGAATCTCGGAATAATGTATGCATGCACACCAAAATAATTCAATCAGGATTCAATGGGATACCATGTAGCTAGTGTCCTTTACATTTTTCCTCTATAGTGAGCCACAAAAAAGTAAAGTACATTTTTGAGGGCATGAAACATATTCACTAGTATAAAGATAGAATAAGGCATCATAGACTGTGCCGGGAAAGATAATTTGTCAGCCACATACTAGGTTACTGTGAAAACCAAGCATTTTTGTTTCCCTCTGAGTTTCATCTTTGACTAGCATCATCAGACCAGGCTTTTCGAAAATGGGGAGAGGCTCTCAAGTGAGGATGTATCCGCCCTGGCAGTGACTGCCCCTGTCCCATCTCTCTACCTCAATCCAATTCCCGCTTTTCTGATTGGCTTCCTTTCTGACCCATGCTTGTTAATTATATCCAGCTGTAGGCAAATTGCTCTTCCAAATTGGCAACACGGAGCTCTCAAGCTGCTCACATTTTTTTTTGCTTCCCTTGATAAAACCTTTGGAGCATGCATTTTCTTGACTAGTGTTTCTGAACTAATCCCCAGTTATGGATATTTTTAAAGGTTCAAGGGACTCACAAAATAATTCTGGTTTTGAAATCAGTATACCTTCCCTCATCTGATCCAACACTGCCTAAGAACATGTAGGGAGGAAAATTTCCTTGGAGACCTTGATATGCAATCTGTCCCCTTGTTCCTGGATACTTTTGTGTCCAGATCAAAGCACCAAGTGGCCAGGTGACAGCACAACAGGAGGAAGCAGTTGAACTTTGCTTTTAGAAGTCCATCCATAACAACGCTTTCAGGACATAACTTAGACTCCCCCCACCTCCACCCCCAAAGTCTCTGCTCTACCCAAGGGTTTTATTGCCAGAAATTCCTGTCCCCCTATTCTCCAGGGATTCTATTGAAAACATATATACCCATGTAAAAAATGGACTGTAAGCAAACACTTTTAGTTTGCTTGTTTTTCTTCGTACAAAGAGAAAATAGAAGCTTATTTCCACTTACCAGACCAGGAGGCTTTGCTTGATGAGCTGTCATTGAGGATTTTGACACCTCTATCGAATGAATGCCTTTAGAGTCAAGAATTAAGTACACAAGGATTGGAGAGGAAAATGGAAAATGAAATGTAGAATCAGAAGACCCAGGTCTGAGATACAGCCTTGCTATTTACCAGCTGCGTAACCCTGGGCAAGAATTTTAATCACCCTAAGCTGTGGCTTTCCTCACATGACTATTACCTGATTTGCTTACTTCATGGAGTTGGAAGGAGGATAGATTGAGATCATGCGGACGAATAGGCTTTACAAATTGAAAAGCGTGATATAACCAATTAGTTCCTATTAAGCAGCCGAGAATATTTTCTAATTGCTTATAAATACATGCTGTGTGTAAACTCATGCTCTGTCACCGGATAAATAAAACCTTGTTTCTGCTGGCTACAGGTTTGTGCATAATCCTTCAGTGATTAAGAGAAGGAAAATGACATTTACTCAGCAACTACCATCATCCAGGCCCTTTCATATCTATACTTATAAAAAAGTCTACCTATAATTAAGTCTGTATTTCCTTTAATTCTCTGAAAAGCATATGAAATTCATTTTCATAGGAAGGAAGTTTAGATATAAAAGGTTTCACTAGAACTTTAAACCTGAGCCGTTCTCCATTAAAGAGTTACACATTCTAAAACGTGGAAAAACACTGTTTTATTCCCTGTCTCTCCCAAAACTGATTCATAGTGCCCAATACCATATTGGGAATCATGGAAAAATCCCAATGTGAAGAAACCTGTTTGACTTTGGTCAATTCAAAGTTCTGTAAGCTTATTTGATTTTTAAAATAGATTTATTTATGTATTTGAAAGGTGTGTGTGTGTGTGTGGAGAGGGGAGGGGAGGGAGGGGAGAGGGGAGAGAAGAGAGATCCTCCACCTACTAGTTTACCCCTCAAATGTCTGCAGTGCCCAGGGTGGGCATGTTGAAGCCAGGAGTCAGGGACTCCATCTGGGCCTCTCACATGGGTGTCAGGGACCCAAGCTCTTGAGCCATCATCTCTGACTTCCTAAGTGCATTAGTAGAGAGCAAACCAGGACTGCCATGTAATGCCGGTGTCCCAGGCAGGGCTCAACCTGCTGCACCACAATACATGCTCTTTTCAACGATATACTATAACCATTTACCAAAGACTGCAGGAAATTAGAGAAGGGCAGCTATGAAACGCTGTTACTCTACATCTACTGCCAATTAATATTGTTTTTGGGTGGTTTTTATTTTTGACTTTTTTTCTTGGTTGTTAACTTCTGTCTTCTGATTTCTTTATGGTTGTAAGATATACTTCACCTTTGTAACCTTTTTAAAAAATACTAATTTTACTTGGAAGGCAGAATTAGAGAGAGAGAGAGAGAGAGAATCTTCTATCTGCTTTTTTTACTCTCAGATGGCTGCAACCGCTGGAGCTGGGCCAGACCCAAGCCAGGAGCCAGGTGCTTCTTCTTGGTCTCCCACATGGGTGCAGGGGCCCAAGCACCTGGGCATTCTCCGCTGCCTCCCCAGGTACGCTAGCAGGGAGCTGGGTCAGAAGTGGAGCCGCCGGGACATGAATAAGCGGCCATATGGGATGCCAGCACTGCAGGTTGTGGCTTAACCTGCTCTGCTATGTCACTGGCCCCACTTTTTAGCCATTTTTAGTAGTGTGGTTTGGTGGCATTAAATACATTTACCATGTTGTACAACTCATTATCACCATCCTTGTCTGGAAGTTTTGATCTTCTTAAGTGGAAACTCTGTATTGTCTTTTTTTTTTTTTTTTTTTGACAGGCAGAGTGGACAGTGAGAGAGAGAGGGACAGAGAGAAAGGTCTTCCTTTGCCGTTGGTTCACCCTCCAATGGCTGCTGTGGCCGGCGCACCGCGCTGTTCCGATGGCAGGAGCCAGGTACTTCTCCTGGTCTCCCATGGGGTGCAGGGCCCAAGCACTTGGGCCATCCTCCACTGCACTCCCTGGCCACAGCAGAGAGCTGGCCTGAAAGAGGGGCAACCGGGACAGATTCCGGCGCCCTGACTGGGACTAGAACCCGGTTTACTGGGACTAGAACCAGGTGTGCCGGCGCTGCAAGGCGGAGGATTTGCCTAGTGAGCCGCGGTGCTGGCCTCTGTATTGTCTTTTTAAAATCACTTTATCATAAGCATGCTTTCATATAATAACTTGTTTTTTTTTCATAATCTTCATTTCTAGTGATTTAGAGATATTCCACAATATAATGCTCATGAATCGATCATTTCTACTTTTCTCTTTTGTAAATGGTAAATAAGTGCACATAACATTCTTCACATTTTAGATTATTTCTTTAGAATAGCCAATAGAGTATATGAACATTTTAGGGATTTCTAAATGTAAGTTGTCAGTTTATTTTTCTGAAAGTTAGGCCACATTTGTAATTTGTTGGTGGATTGATATATTCATTCTTTCAAACAAAGATCAAATAAGTTTCTAATACTTGTCAACATTTAGCTATGCGGAAGACATACCTGGTCTCGAATGATTTCAATTCGCACTGGCCAGCACTAGTTACAGTCTCTGAAATCAAAAGGACTGGTTTACTTGTCAAAAAGTTCATTGCATTTCTTTGTTATCTGTAAGAAAACATCTTGTTGGTTTGCTGATTCCTTTAAGAAATGTCCCTCCTCCTTTGTTTGCTTTTCCCCTTGTCTCACTCAAATATGTGCTACCGGACCAACCACTTAATTTCTAATCTTGTTTATTCATTTGTGAAATGTGAATAATAATGGTACAACATCATAGGATTGCTGGCAAATTCAGTAAGATATTTTATATTTCAATGTCTCAATGCAACATTGTAGACCATACCTAACACATTCTAACACAGAAGGTGAATTAAATCTTCTATTAGTTAGCCCAAAGAATGGGTGAGATGAGAATTGTGTGCACTTTTTCCCAGCACTGTAAAGAGGCATTTTGTCTGTGTGTTTAGACAAACAAATCACCAAGTCATGAACTCTCTTTACCTTTCTACAATAATGGAATAACCCATGGATTGGTATGTAAATGGTGGGGTTTTGTTTGTTCTTACTGGGCCAAAATGCTGCTAAATTTTACAAAGTTCTGAAAAGTTCTTACAAAGAAAAAAATATGTCCTTAAGTTTTTTTGAACCTGTAATCCAGTGTGGGTGGCAGGGAGGGTAGGGGGCAGAAGTGACACTATGTTCTTAAATCTATATATATATATCAAATACATGAAACATGTATGACTTAAATAAAATTTAAAAAGAAAATTAAAAAAAAAAAACGAAATAGCAATGGTGATGGTGTGCTAGAAGTTATAGGTTAGTGAGTTAACAACAACAACCAAAAAACGACATTGCTCCCTAAGGAAGGATGAACTGAAGTATGCTGAATTGAGTTGACAAGTGTTGGGCTTGTCAGTGAATTAATGGGCAAAGTCTGAGACTTCAAATTCTGTTTAATCAAGCTTCTATTGTTATTCAATTAAAAAAGTCTTTTCTTTCTTGGCAGTGTGTGTGTGTGTGCGTGTGTATTTGTTCATAAGATGTGTGTGCACTTTCCTTTATATTTCCAGCTTCTGTGCTAAGCCTGGCCACTGAGAGCAGATATTTTATGGAAGGAATAGGGAGCGTGGTCAATTATGTGACTGTTACATTTAACTGAATTTCACATTGTCTTGATTTTACAAAGGCTAAAGAGAAGATGTCTGAATAACTGACAGATGTCAATCCACAGACTATTGCTTTAGGAACTGAACCAATGACATTACAATTCGGAATAAAAGTCATGTGTCTATTTCACTGCCACCACACTTTTTGTGCTGTTATTCACAAAACGAATAAAGTATGCCCTGTGCAGTCTTACCATAGGCGCAAGTTGGCGTGGCATATGGTGAAACCACTCCAAGCTGCCACGGAAGTGGCCAACTGTAGAGCCCTCCCCTGTCATAACAGAGCTCCCGATGAATCATTCGTGGCTGTCTTCACTGTCGGTGTCCCTTTGTTAAATAAGGATGTTTTAAATAGCTGCTAGCTGTGAAAACCAAAACCAAAACCAAAACCCTCGTCTACTCCACCAGCCCTAAGCAAACCGAAAGGATCATTAGGGCCGATGCAATGCCTAGGTGAGCGAAGGAGCGGAAAGAGGCCAGGTTTCAGAACAACAAGCAAAGTCAGTGAAGCACAGAGTCAATTCAACTCTTCGCCGAACGACAAATAAACCAGACAGGAGTCACGCCAGCTGTTCACACTGGAAAGTTACCAAACGTTTATTTGGGTTCAAGTTTTACGCATGACAAGCGTAAGGAACAATGCGTTTCCTACGGGGTTGAGGTGTCTGATTCCTTATTGCTCCAACAAGGCAGGCAGGGGAGTGTTTCCTTAGGGCGCTTCGACACTCCCCCTTTCTTCCCACCGACAACCGCTCTGGGGACCTGCACCTCGGGGGACCCAGCTCCCAGGACGCCTCTCCTCCGGCGGCGGCTGTGCTCCGCGCTCGCCCTTGCGGGTCCGGCCACCCTGCTTACCCTACTCGCCTCGCAAACTCCGATTTCTGGAACAGGGCAGCGAGCGGCGCCGGATCCTCTTTCCCGCCCGCTGCCCCCGAGCGGCCGCGGGCGGCGGGGTCCGCACCGCGAACAAAGGCGGCGCGGGGCGCGCGGCCGGGGCTGGCGCGCGTCTCTCCGGCAGGAGGCGGCGGCGGCGGCGGCGCCGAGCCCGAGCCCGCATTCCTCAGAAGCGCCTGGAGCCCGCGGGGCGACGTCACCCCCGGCTCCGCCCCCGTCCCTCCCCGTGCAAAGTAACTCTTGACTAACAGGAGCAGCCTCGGCGGAGCATGGAGAGCAGCCGCCGCGGCCGGCGGGCGACGCGGGCGACTCTCTTGCCCCCGAGGTAGTTTGGCGACCGCGAAGGAGGAAAAAGTGCGGGCGGGCGGCCGGGGACTCCCGCCGGCAGCCCGTGAGGCCGCCCGGCGTGCACCTCAGGCGTGGGTTTCGCCGCGATTGCCCCCAGCACCGCTTTTGCAAAGCTGCCTGAAACTTCTCCCAAACTCGACATGGAAACGGCGGCGGCGGCGGCGCTGCCCGCGCTTGTGGCGCTCTTGCTCCTCTCGCCTTGGCCTTTCCTGGGGTCGGCCCAAGGCCAGTTCTCTGCAGGTGAGTGACCGGGGCGGGGGTGGCGTCGCGAAGCCTCGACGGGTGCCCCCAGCCCGAGACTGGCGAGGAGTGGAGCTGGGTCCTCGCCTGGGCCGGGAGCAAGGATCTGAGGGGCAGCTTTGGCGACCCGAGGGGCGGGGAGAGGGACAGAGGGTCGAGGGAGGGGTGCCCCTGAGTTTGTGCCAGGTGCGACGCGGGGCGGCGGACCGGCGCCACTTGGCG